AATTTACAGATTACGTCTAGCCATTTCATCTGTAAAATGAAGGGACGTCACCAATCTAGTACTGCACTTAAATTCATAAAATCTAGATACCAAAGAGGGATGCTGATCAGAAAAATTACCATGAAAGTAATTTCTAGAGAAGTCACGAGAAAGTTATTTTACGGTGGTGGGAAAGGAACTGAAGCTGAGATGCTAGGTCAGGACCAATTTGCAGATTCTTCTTTGGATTTTATCAAGAATCTCTAAATATAAAGCAGGAGCACCATATCAGATGTGGCAAGAGGTTCAGAGGGAAATACCGAGTAATTTACCCAACGAGTTTATGCAAATGGATGACAGAACACAGATTGGCGGAAGTGGGGTCGGATAGCAAGGTGACAAACATTGCTAAGAGCTATGAATGATAGAAATTTGTACAGAGTCATGATTGCTCATAAAAGATGTGCATACTTGATTTTAGTGACCCCGACCCGCAAATCGCATTTCGGGCTCATTCTTTTTACTGATGACCATGAATTCTGTCTTTTTGTAGTTTATGCTTAGCCCTTTATTCTCGCTACCTTCTGTAGGAGGTTTTGTAGTTTCTTTTCCGTGTCTGCTGTCAGGGTAATGATATTTTGCAATATGTTTCTATCAGTGGTGGGTCTTGAAAAATATTCCAGGTTAAGTAAATAACACTGTCGTGATCATAAATGAAAATGATCTTTATTATTTTATCGTATAAATAAGAAATAGTAACATTAGCAAAGGATTAAATTAAAAGCGCCTCATTACCTCCGAAATTTCAACTGATAATTTTTTTTGGATGACTGATTTTACAATTAACCTCCAAGCATAAATTTCAATTTCATTTTTCAATAACAAAATTTAAGAGATTTGAAAGTTTATTCCATTGAATTATAATAATAATGTTCATTATTAATTTATTTATGTTAATGTCGAATTCCATTAGATTCACTTACGTGCTAATACCCTTGGGAAAGGTATGAATCCTCTTCATCACCCCTCCCCCCCCCAAGCTATGAATAAATAGAAGGACAGACCGGGTTATCTTCGATGGCAACTGGTTTACCGCAGAAAGAAATGGCAACCTACTGCGGGAAAAATCTGCCTCGTCAGTCATGTATCGAAAGATACATGATCGTCTAAGCATCTATCACGCATGGCATATTAATTGGCTAATGCCAGCATTCAGGAACTATGATTACAGTCATGGATTCAGCTGAAACAAAATGAAACAGAAAAAAAAGTGAAAAAAAAATAAGAAAAAAAAAGGCATCAATATTCTTCTTTTCCTTTTATGTGCTGTATCCTTTCAGGACGTAGGCGATCATGGCTCTCCACTCCCCCTATCCCTTGTAGCTTTCAATAATCTTCGTGCTTCTGCCAACTTCCTCAGGTATGTCATGCGTTGCTTTCCCTTGTCCCTTTTCCCTCTATTCGTCCTGTATCAGATTCTACAGGCCCTCCTTTCTCATTACGTGTCCCAGAAATTTCATCTGCATTTTTCTTATGTTACGTATAAGCTTCCTCCTTGTTTGCATCTTCTCCAAGACCTCATCGTTGCTCACACGTTCGCTCCATGATATCCTTAGTATCCTTCTGTAGAACCACATCTCCGCTGTCTCGAGTCTCTTCTTCATCTTTGAGGAGACCATCCAACATTCGCTGCTGTATAGGAAGACAGATGTCACGTAGCAGCTCAGTACTCTTTTCTTTCTCACCAAAGAAATCCTCCTCTCTCGCAGCATTCTGTCCAGCTTTTGGGATGCATCATTGGCCATCCCAATCCGTCTGCGGATCTCAGCTTCGCACCAGCTGTCCTCCCTCAAAACACTTCCCAGATATTTAAACTTCCGCGCATGCTTGATTTTAGTGTCCCCGACCTGCAAATCGCATTTCAGGCTCACCCTTTTACCATGCATTTTGTTTTCTTGTAGTTTATGCTTAGTCTCTTCTCGCTTTCCCACGCTATCTTCTGTAGGAGGTTTTGTAGTTTCTTTTCCGTGTTTGTTATCAGTACTGTGACGTCTGCGTATCTTATGTCGTTAAGATTATGGCCGCCAATGCTAAATCCCGGTATTGCCTAGCTGTATAGGTTGAATGTCCGGTGAGAAGACACATCCTTGCCTTATGCCCCTTTCTATTTTTGTATATTCGCTGAACTCATTCTTAATGCGCATGCATGCTGTTTGCTGTCAGTATAGGTTCTATTCAGAGAACTTAAAACGATTACTTGGTTGCTTATTTTAGTGTATCATTTTACTTACAATTATTGCCACGTGATGCAAGCAATAGTGCATTATTTAAACAAATCAACCATAAATAATCAAGTGCATTTTTATAGCCATCTGTCACTTTTTATTGTCAACTAAGATTGTTTTTACATTTACACAAGTAGTGAAGTAACCGTTCTAAGACATGCGGTTAATCGAAATAAGTGCTGTGTAATTTGTTGTGAAAAAATATTGCAGCCAAAAATATCGATAAACACTCTGCGTATTGAGCCTCTTTCACTGAATCAGCAGCAACTGTTATTGAATGCTGGCCGCTGTGCGTACTGCTTGACTTTAGTATTTCCCTTAATTTACGTTCTATATTTCGTCTGAAAGTAACATATTTTATTGTGGAAAGAGATTACTGTAAATTGGATTTTTCATTATCATGAGTATAGATTTTCAAAGATGAATTTTTGCTTACAAGTTTCAAGTGTTTATTACAATAGGTATAAATTCACTAAGTCCCCCCTAAAGAAATAAAATAATACGTTTTAAAGTTAATAAATAGACATATTTTTTAAAATTCTGTACTGAAATTTTATAGGGTAAGCAATGCCTACTCTTTACAACCATAGTCAAGATGACTAGTTCCTGGTGAATGGAATTTGCGCCTGAGTCAAATAGAAAATACAGATTATGATTTACTGACGTTTGTTTTACTTGAGAAATGACATAGTTAAGAAACAAATCAGATGTTCGAACCACCAAGAAAAACTTGTTGTTGTCGATGAACTGAGAATCTTGGGCTCTTTTGAACAACAGAATTTTACAAAAATGAAAGACGTTAAAGAGATAAAGATAAAAATATGGCAAATTAAGAACAATTTTTGTGTATGCAATTCATACACAAAAGCATTTTGAAATTTTCAATTTTTTTTAAATCATCAAGAGAAAATTGGAATATGTCATATATGAGTAAATGGGTAAATTATTGCATATTCAATTATGCAATCTTGCACAATCTTTATACAATCTGAACAATATTTTTAATGGGAGGCTCTTTTATAAACAAATGTGCTCAAATTTGGCGATTTTCCTGCTAATTTAGTTCTTTTTTCATCATTACCGGACAGACCTTGCATCTTCACCAGTCATGGTGAACGGTTGTATTCGTAACGAGGCTCCTTGCCTTGAATGTCTATTGGGACTCAAGCTCACACCAGACCTCAAGTAAACTTGTACATACGGTCCATTGCTAAATATACTGGCAAAATTGTAAGTTCTTTGTCCTGCTCCAGAAAGTACCTGTCTGTTGCTATGCTCTATCTTTATAAAAGATAGGTCAGACCAAAAATGTAGCATTGCTGTCAGCTGTGGTTGACCAACCCTCACTTTCCAAAGTTCAAAAGCCTTTGAGCGGCACTCTGGTCGAGGAATTATTTTCTCCGCCTCCAACACCTTTTCCCCACAGACATTGCTAACCTCTCGCCATTGTTATTTTCATGGCATATTCCTCAGGTGAACTACATTTCTTGGTTCCACCAGTTCAGACCTTTACAGCTAGGCCCTGCCATGTTACATACACTGAGTCAACTCATCCTCATTTTCTACATATTCCATTGGTGAGGAGGAGGAATGGTTTTTCACCCAGGACTGTTGCATTGATGAACAGACTCTTCAGAGATTTCTTGTCCCAAGCAATACAATATTAACCTCTTCGTGTCATTATATAGCCTCATAATATGCACCACTTGCACCCTCCTTGTAAGCCCTTACAATAAACTCATTCAGTAACACTATCCTGAGCGGCTCTTGAGCCTTGTATTTAGTGAACTATAGAAAAAAATATAAATTGTATTATGGAATTAGAAAAATACAATAAATAGTAAATTGAAATTTGTTGGTTGAATCTAACATGTCTAAATGAATTCTTGCTGTCTAAACATATCTATAAACAGAGGGTCCCATAATGATTCAACACATTTTAAATGCAAGTATCTTGGATTATAAAAATGACAGAATACCAAATATATTTAATATGTAAATGATATACAAGAGTTCAACATATTATCTAAGATTTGAATATTACATCTCTGATATGGTTATCACCATAAAGAGAACATGTATGACTTTGCTCTCTCATTTCAAACATGCGGCTTACCATATCAACTGTAATGGCCTCGATCTCTCTATAGCAGCATGGGACTTTCTCACACAGCTGTGGAACTAAAACAAATATTTGAAATGAGAGAGTGAGATCATACATGTTGTCTTCATGGTGGTGACCATATCAGGGATGTAATATTCAAATCTTAGATATGTTGAAATCTTGTATATCAGTTATGTAATAAATATATTTGGCACTCTATGTCATTTTTATAATCCAAGATATTTGCATTTAAAATGTGTCCTATAATTATGGGACACCCTGTATAAGTTCAATAAACAGTATTAAGTAGTGCAGACCAGCCACACTATCTCAACAATATTATGAAACAAGGAAAATGCTCAATGCAATTCACTGATTGTTTTTCCTGGCTTATCAACCTTTTCCAGGTTATTTAAAGCCAGAAAACAGTCTTAGATTGTAAGATTTTCTTTAGAGATAATAATGATTTACTGATACAAGTCCTACTAATTAACCCGTAGCTGGGGGGAGAACAGGTGGATTCATACCTTTCCCAAGGGTAAGCAAATATAACAAACTCAACTGGAATTGGAACACAGCTCTCTGATTAACAATTCCAAACTAGTATCCGTTACACCACCTGCACATCCAAGCTTGCAGCACCTGGTATTTCCAAGCAGTCATCCATCTAAGTGCTGACCAGGCTCAATGTTGCTTAACTTCAGTGATCATACAGGAACCAGTGTTTCAATGTGATGTGGCTGTAAGTTTTCATCCACATAGGAACATCTAATTTGTTTTTAACTACAGCGCAATTATAAAAAGCCAATAAATCTTTTCTTTTTTATAATGACATTCATAATGAGAATTATTTGGTCAAAACTCTCCTATCTACAATATTTTTGTTTTTATCTATATTCAAGGAAACAATGTCATTTGTATTAATGCTATGCAATAATAATAATAATAATCAAAAACATCTTCAGCTAAAAGAGGATTTGAATGCTCAGAGTAGTAAAAAATTTGGGTCAATTTTCCAGCTATACTTGAATCTGAGAAATTTTTTCCAAAATTGTCTGTTTAAGGAAGGAATCCTGAAAGCCACTTTTAGATTTTCTCTTTTTCAATTAATTTTGTGAAATGTATCTGTTAGATGCTTTGGTAAACATCATTGGTGATGTTTTTAGCCGAGGATCATGGGGGCGGGTACCACTTCTCAATAGTAACCCAGTTCATACTGATCTAATATCAACTTGTGTGCCATGTGTCAGCTACAACTATTCTCTTAGTGTACCATATATACTCAAGCATAGTGTGAATTTTTATCATCAGTTTTTTATGTTAAAAATAAGAAGTCACACTGTACACAGAAGATGTCACAATATACATATTTTGAAGGGGTTAAAAATCATGTATTTTCAGTGACTGATTGCACTATACACAGGTAAATTTTTCTGGAAAGGTTAAAATTCATCTATTATCAGTGAGCATAACCGTAGTCAGGCATGAATGAAAACAATAGTATGGTATCTAAATCTTTGTATCAGATATTTTACAGTAAGTAGTTTTTCTCACTGTTTTTTGGGTAGTGTTGTATAAAAATGAATGAAGACCATTTATTTGCTATAAAATGTCCAGGATGATCCCTAGTACTACAATATTTGGCTACGGTAGGCCTACTAGTATTTCTCAGCCACTTGGAATGGATTATACACAAGCTCTATGTAAAATCAGGTTTTTCACAAAATATTTGCGGGTTCACACTATACATAAAGTAGGTTTATACATGAGTATATATAGTAAATCTCTCCTAACCCACTGACATTCCAATCATGAGAAAATTCTGGTTCACCAGCTTTTTCACTTCTTCATAAAAAAGGGAAACAAATGTAGTGACTGAATAGTATATTTTGAAAAAAAAATAAAAAAATCGAAATTTAACTAAAAGAAAAAAGAAAAAAAATTCTTTTGCATTCAATTTAAACTTTGTTTGATGCAAAAGATTTAAAAAAAAAACAAAAAAAACATAAAAACATGTCCCCACCCACAGCATGCTCCCCCCAGGCAATTTCTCTTAAATAATAATAATAATAAAAAAACAGCATGCTCCTTCCCACCCTGACAATTTCTCACATGCTCCCTCTAGGCAATTTTTCTTTAACAACCCACATCACGCCCTCCATCAGCATTTTCTCTGTAGAAACCCACAGCATGACCCACACAATTTCAAATTGTATTATAAAATAAGAAAAGACAAATTAATAAAAGAAAGAATGCAGATAAAATTAAAATTTTGTTCATTATTTTAACACAAATATTTTTATTTGCATTTTTATAAATCAACAACAGTTTTTTTAGTAGATAATAGATTTTTTGTTCCCTCAAATTTTGAGGCCAAGGAAACAACAAACATGAAACACTTAATGAACAGAATAAACAATTAAGATGAATTAATAATTACTTTCATTTTTTTTTTTCTTAACAGAAATAATAATAATATTCAATCAGTGAAAAAAAGTTGATATTTGCAGAGTAGCTGTCTTGGTGGACATTTCTTGCATAACATGTCCAAGAAGTAACGACATGTGACTTTTGAGTTAAGTAGCACATAAATTCTTTTGTCCCAGTTTTAAATTTGGAGAAAAAGAAAGCTGGAATGTATGTGAACATTTTTTTTCCTTTGCATTATTATTTTTTTTTAAATTCTTTTAGCTGGCACTTTTATTGTTTAGAAAATGCATGTGAAAATACACTTGTCAAACCAAATAGAAATGAAATCCAAATGCAAGCTAAAATATATAAATTATAAACAGTAAAAAAAAAAAAAAAAAAATAAAAAAAATAAAAAAAGTGTAAAAAGATCACAGAATTAGATACTACTATTTATATTTAATAAAAATAAAAACAGAATTGGAACTTGAAACCATTAGTATGGTAAAGACAAAAAAGTTACTTCATGACAACTTGACATTTATCATGGACAGAGTGTGTGAGCAATGATGAGGTCTTAGATAGGATGCAAACAAGGAGGAGATTTATACTTAACATCAGGAAGAGGCAGCTGACATTCCTGTGACACATAATGAGGAAGGAGGGCCTGGAGAATCTGATACTCATGGGTCAAATAGAGGGAAAGAGAGACAAGGGAAAACAATGCATGACATATCTAGTGGGCTTAAGCAAGTCAATGAGAGAATGTGGTCTGGGGGAAGGTGGCAGAGGGAAGGAACTTGTTGAGAGCTGCAAGGGATAGAAGGAGGTGGAGAGCCATGATCGCCTACATCCTGAAAGGACACAGCACATAGAAAGAAAATGATAATAGTTAACTTTATAATGAGCAGAAATAACTGAAAATCCTGCTTGTAAATCTTCAAGATTTAAGAAATGAGAATATTTAGTTGATTTTGGTCATATTTTAAAGTTTATCTTTATCATGCTCAGAATCTTATAATTTTATGATGATGATAATGATGATGGATAAGGATGATATGAATAAACATTGAAATATCAACAAAATCAGATTCTTCATAACAAAATAAAAAAAAAAACGAATAAAATATTGATTATTCACAAGTATGCATTCCTGACTCAGTTTTCATTAATTGCCTTAAATAAAATTAAGTTTTGTGTTTTGGCAAATCATCATTAAGAGATTATTTTAATTGCTCTACTTATCTATCATTATTTACCAATAATTAATTTGTGACAAAATTATCAGAGTCACTTTTTACATACCAATTAAAAACTTGTTACTTTGAAAAAGAAAAAGTGTGTAAAACAAGCTTAAGACTATATCTACATATTTCAATAAAATTCAATTTAAGCAACTTTTTCACAAACACCTTTTATTTTCAAGATTTCTTTTTGTTTTCATTTTCTTACAATTAACTGACAACAATTTACACAGATGCAAGTAACTGCTGCAGACAAATGATATTGAAGGATTTGTTGCTTCCTCAATATATGCTTGTTTGAAAAAATACACAAACTGTAGATTACTTTTAATTATTCCCCATATTAAAGCACTTTCACTGATTAACTAACATTCAACTCATCCAAACCAGCCCCCAGTAAATATTGGATTTCAATGTTTGACCTGCTCCCTGTATACTCTGGCATAATATATGATGACATCATCGTAAATAATGCAGGAAGTCATGCAGTGTAACTTTGATCACAGTGAAATTTGAGAGCTGATATTTATGGCGGGGGGAGGTCATCATGGGGTTGGAGGTTAAAAGGTTAAACGATTGACAACATTATGAAAATAAAAAAAATATCCTTTGTTATAATTTTTGTATCATAAAATACTGGTATTAACATTTAAAGGTATAATTTTTTATGAGCCTATATTTTAAATAATTACCTTCCCAAAATCTTTTATAGTTTAGTTTAAAAAAAAAAGAAAAAAAAAAGCAGACTGTAAAAACTTTCATTACAAAAAATAATTTACATTGTTCGGACTGTTGTCTTCATCTTTATAGCCATATTTACAATGTCTGTTGTACACTCTGGTCTTCTGTGTGTGATATATGTTGGAATTTCAAACTGAAACCTTTATTTAGTTCATGGGAGTAGATTGCATGGTACGTGGAATTAGAACAATCTATCCTGTGAACTAAATAAAGGGTTTGGTTCGAAATTCCAATGTATATCACCTGAAGAAGGCCAGAGCATACAACATCTGAAACGTTGTGAATATAGCAATAAAGATGAGGACAACAGTGTAAATAGTTACATGAAAATACTTAAATTAAATAAACTCTATCTTTGCAGATGTTTATATTAAATTAAAATTGCTCTATATTCTAAAAATTTTAGTTTTATTTTCAAATTATGCTTTCCTTTCACTAAGAATACAGAGCGTTATATATTTTTTAAAAATCTGAGGTTGGTTTGCATATATGCCACATTTTTTTCTTTTTAAGTAAAAAGTCAAGTTGTTATAAAGTGAATTTATATCTGTTCAAATACATTAATAAAAATGAACATCAGAAATATGCAACAACTTTTCAGATGTCAACACATTCAATTAACACATTCAATGGAAATTAATATCAAGACAAAAATTCATTAAAATAAAAAGAAAACAAAATATTTTAAAAAAAAATTGGTTTGCTTGGCAGAAAATCTTATTTTGTAATGATTATTTGTAAGGAATGTTCCAGTAATTATGTTTTGTACTTTTTTTTTTTTGCTTTTCTTTTTAAAAAGATTTCCATCATTTGCAAATTCAGTGAAACTTGCAAGGGGAGTGAGGACTTTTAGCTTTTTAGTAAAAACAAGTGGAAATTAATTCCATTTAATTAATTTGGGATATTTTAAGAAATTGATCTTTAGGGATGTACGCATATTTCAAAGTTAAAAGTGGTTATTTTGATTGGTAAATTTCTGATCTTTATCAGGCAATCAAGTTGAACTTATTTGAGGTCAAGGGGAAGAGAGAGTGAGATTCAGATTCTTTGCCTATTCCATATAATCTTGCACTCTAAACTCAAGTTCCAAGTAAGGACTGTTTTTTTTTTCTTTCTTTCTTTTCATCATCTATTAATCAACACATTGTATTCATATTTAAAAGCATAAATTAGAATAAGTAGTTAAAAATGGCTTACAGCACATAAATTTGGAGAAATTCTAAACCATCTACTATCAATAAACAATTATTTTTTAAATATTCATTTATTATTGGTGATGAATAAGATGTAGGAAACCTAAAACTCTGTTTTAATTGAGCTTAAAATTTATTAGGTGAATCTGATAATGGGTTGGTCAGTATTAAGATGGTTTTAAAGGGTGCAACCAATGTTTTTCTTACAGAGCTTTTCTTACGATGAGCTTTTCATATTTAAATTCAATAGAAATAATGTTATCTGAAGAACAGAATGTAGTCCATCACAGAGAAACGTGAAACCCAATACGTTCTATATACAAATGATTTTAAAAGACCTTCAAAACTAATTTCATCAGTATCCCTAAGCAGAGCTTCAGATCACATTCTAATTAAGGTTGGAATTTCATTGAAATAAATTTAAGTATTGTATTAGAGTGAGAGCATTGATAGAAGTTTGAGTTTCAAACTTCACCATCTTAAATCAGAATTTCTTTAAAAAAAAAAATGTAAATAATAGAATCTTATTTCTTTAAACATAAAGAACTGTTTACTTTTGTATATCTGAAATGGTTAAACCACTCAATAATGTCACGTATGCTGGCATTAAAGAAAGTGATAGAGGCATTATGTGTATTTTTTTTTTTTTTTTTTTTTTGCTATACTTGAACATTAACAGTATTTGAATCCTGAAAGAGACCTGCTGGATCTCCAGAGGCAAAAATGTGCTTGTCCTGACCCTCATTGGTCTTATGTGTCTCCAATAAATCTGGTTGAATACTCGACACCCCCTTATGATCATTGTGCAAACACAAATCTGATGAAATATCTGTGGAAGTTAGATTTTCTTTGAGGTACAATTTGTGAGATGGCGAGGCGGGCTTGCTGTTTGCATTTTTCTGATGCACTGGTGAGCGCACACTTTGCTTCTGTGTCACTTTTACAGTGGCAGCTTCGAAGAGTTGCCAGAGTTTCAGCTCTGTCGGGTCAGTGACATTCTCCTCGGCAGAACTTGCAATTTCACCCTCTTGCAACACATCATCACAACTGTTGTCTTTACCATTGTCCGTATCTTCTTCCAAGACAATTTCTTGTCTGCCTGCAAAAGAGACAAATAAATTTGAAACTTTGAATTTCTGTATTCACTTTATGCACATTTTGAGATGTTAAATGTTACTAAGAGTAGATCTTATTCAATAGTTTTCTGAGAATTCAAATAGATTGGATAATAAACTTTGCAGAAAATGAAGCAAAAATGAGGAAAATGAATGGAGTAAAACCATAACTGATCTTAAAATTTCAGATAAAAGTTTCTAGTAGTTATATTACACAATGAAGACCTAATCTCTGTCATATAACATCAGTAGCAATATTCTGCAAGATTACCTGTGAATGATTTCTCTTAAGATCTGATATGTATCATCTGACATCAGTAGTAATGCTTACTATGAACTGAGTAGTGATGCCACCATCTAATGATCAGATGGTATCTTATTCAATTTCTAGAGATTCAAAGTAAACACATTAACATCATAGGACCAACAATATGCAGACAATATGGCATATCTGGTTGTAGCCCACCTGTGACTCCAGTGAAACACTGACATTAATAATTAATTTTATGCAGTTGGCAGGATGTGCAGCAGTGCAAACGAAATGGAAGTTTTGAGTTGTCTTTCTGATTTTCTAAATGATAAAGAATCAATCCTGACATTCAAGGTAGGAAACCAAGAAAGAGCTTAATAATCTAAACCTCCTTCAAGTACCTTAGAAGCATTATTTATCACCTCATGTAATATAGAAAATGAGGTGCTAAATCGAACAAGACAAAATGTAGATGCTATTAATAAAACTGTTATTGGAAATTTAGTAGTTTTGGAAAAAAAAAAATAATAACGTAATAACCCTTTTCATGCATGCGACCACTCACTTGGCCATAATCTCATTGGAGGATATTTTGACCGGAACTAAGATTAGAACATAAGGTGATTATGTCAGAAAGAACATCTCCACATACTGTGATCCAGTTACATTATTTTCTGAGTATTCAAGAGATTTTAGTGGGTCTTAAATTTAACTGCCTGTTTGTTAAGAGAGCAGGCATTGAAATTATACTTTTCATAGTAAGAGCTATGATTGATTTGTTCTATCAAGTCTTTTCAGGCTATTTAAAGCCAGAAAATATCTTTCAATTATAAGAAGTCTTTTTGGAGATAATAATGGTTTAGTGATACTAATTAACTCATAGTCAGCGGGAGAACAGATGGAATCATACCTTTCCCATGGGTATTTGTGCATACTTGAATATAACAAAACCAACTGGAATTGGAACGTCAATTAATTCCAAGCCATTATCCATTACACCACCCACACATCCTAGCTTACAGCAATTGGTATTCCCAAGCAGTCACCCATCCATGCTCAATGTTGCTTAAATTTGGTGATCATATGGGAACTCGTGTTTCAATATGATGTGACTGTAAGCCCTTATTAAGAACTAGAGGCAATCCACAGATTTTAAAAAATTTTACCAGTTTGCTTTTGAAAACAAATATATGCCAGAGTAAAAACATTATGAAATATTTTAGATGGCTAGGATGATATTTCACAATTTAAGCGAATAAATTTATTCATTTTTTTAAACAATCACAGCCTATGGCCTTAATCTTCAAAAGATGCAGCCCTGTGTTTTAACAGAGGACATAAAATGCAACATGGAAATCTGACAGCGCATTGGAATAGTGAAAGATACCTTCCAAAAGCTAAGAAAAGTATTAGGAAACATGAAAATTTCATTAGCAATGAAAAGAGTACTAAACTGATATGTAATATCAGTCCTCTTATATGGCAGTGAAAACTGGACAATCTTATCAGTGATGAAGAGGCTTGCGGTAACAGAAATATGTTTCTATAGAAGGATGCTGAGGTTACCATACTGAACAAGTGAGCAGTGACAAAGATTTAGAGAAAATGGAAACAAAAAGGACGCTTATACTTAGCATCAGAAAGAGAACTGAAATTTCTAAGGCATATAATGAGGAAAGAAGAGTTAAAAAAACTTGAGACTAACATGACATATTAAAGGCAAGAGGGACAATGCATAAGCTATTTAATGAGTTTGTGTAAATGGTTGGTAGAATAGGAGGGATGAGGAGAGAGAAAAAAGACAAAATTTATTAAGAGCTTATAAAGAACAGAAAATTGTGAGGAGCCATGATCACCCATGTGCCATGTCTGAAGGGACGTGACATATAGAAGAAGAATCAACAATAATTCAGAAACATTTTTTGATGTTTGAGAAAAATGGTTCAAAACTGGCCAAATAAGGGACTTATTGTAAAAGAATTTAAAATTTCATTTGAATCTGGTACTGTCACTCTCGGCTGTGGATAAAGTTTTTTATTATTAAGTAGAGACTTACAAACAATAATATTTGATGTGATTGATTCATAAAAAAGCTGAAATAATAAAATGTTATGAATAAACAAGAATCAAAAAAGAAAATTTTTTTATCAGTTTAAACTAGTGAAATTTTTCAAGTTTAAAAAATAAAAATAAAAAAGTCTACGAATGTATCTTAATCAACTATGAACTGTGATGGGTCAGACATGTGATAAGTCTTGAGTATTTTTGTTAGAATTAACATTCATTTTGGCATAGTTATTCTTTTTAAAACTAGTTCAGTACCCTGTTTGTTGATGGCAAGATGATCAAATCTCAAATCTAAAAATTACTTCAAAGGGCCAGCTTATACTCTTTTCCTGTTATCCAGGGGTTGTTGCCAGACATGAAGGGAAATTAGCTCTTGCAACTTTGATGTCAATTTTGATTTCAGTCAAAATGTGTGTATGTGTGTATTTTTGTGTGTACATTTATATTTTTTTTACAATATTTTTAAAAAAAGAAACTTAAAAAATATTCTATTTATTAACAAATAATTTTCAAAAATTTCAATGAAATCACATAGTTATTTGATTTTTTTTAAGGTTTAAAAATTAAGTTTTTTTTTGTCTAACTTAATGATTTTATTGCTTAGCCCATGGTAGGGGTTGTCCAGGCTGAGTAGGAAGGAAATATTTTATTCTAATGTTATATTTCAAACTCGGTCAAATTGTGTGTATATGTGTGTGCATGTATGAACAATAAATGGCGCAAGCATATATAACTTACCCATGCACAACACTGACATACATATATGTATTACATATGCGCATGCAGAAATCACCCACAGTCATGACGTAACAGAGAATCAGCTTTTTTCATGATTTAAATTAGGCAAAAATGAGGGCCTCTTTAGAGAAATTAAAATTTGGAAAAAACATGTATACTCGGATATTATTAAAACTTTAGCTACATACACAAAATATGCAATTTTTCTGTTTAGGTGTTACTACACATACTGTAAAGAATATGTTTTCTTCATCTGTGTGCCATGTCCCTTCAGGACGTTGGCAATCATGGCTCTCCACAATTTCCTGTCCTTTGTAGCTCTTAGCAAATATAGTCTTTTTGCTATCTCTCCTAATCCCTGTTCTGCCAACCATTTACACAAGCTCGTTAGGTAGGCTGTTTTACTGTACCTCTTGTCTTCAATATGTCAAATTTTCTAAGCCCTCTTACAATGATGTTCACCCTGTATAAGGACCAAGAGCCACTTAAGGTAGAGGGTTAGAGTAAGAGGCACCACCTCAAGCAAAGTTTGGTAATGTTACCAAGATGCAAGGGGATCTACTGGAAATGAAAAATTGAGGGAAAGACTTTAGGAGGAACTGGAAACCGAGTCCCAAACAGGAAACAAGGGATAAACCTCTACTCCTGTTCAAAAGACTGGGGAATCTTTTCTCATTATGTGCCCTAGAAATTTCAACTGTCTCTGTTGGATGTTAGGTCCTTATTGTTACCATTTTCTCTAAAACTTTGCTCACACATTCAGTCCATGGTAGTTTCAGTGTCCTTCTGTAAGATCACATTTCTGTTACCTCAAAGCTCTTCTTCATCTGTCATGAGATTGTTCAGCATTCACTACCATATAGGAGGAGTAATAT